AACAATAGATATAAATGGAAAAAAATTAAAGCAGAGCATTAAAGATTCCAACTTATAAAAAGGAAAGGAAATTGGATTTTGTCAAAGAATTTTGATTAAATGCTAGAAAAATTAACCCTCGTCGATGATTTCTGTTCATGCCAATTATTTTCAATTTACTATATAGACATTCTACGCACTTTTGAGGGAGATAATCAATTATTTGTTGAAGTGCATGTCAAAATATTATCAAAACACGTTTTGCCGAGGACGAGAGTAATTATAATTAATTATTCTAACTGTAATATCAAAGTCTACTTTGAAGAACTGAGAATGGTCGTTTGCCAGCTGAAATTATTATCTCTGTCCACGAATTTCCAAGGGAGATGAGTTGGCAAACACGGTGCAAAACGACCACTTCGCAGCGTGTCCGTCCATTTGCGAGTCACAAAGTCCGCATGTTCTATCTGGCCGACCGAACACATATTATTTGGCCTCACGCGGCGAAGAGTCATTTGGGCCGACAGATTATTTTGCCCCCATCGCAGCGCGCGCTTTTTAAAGGCGAAGCTCCCTTTCACAGGAATTCACTCGGAGAAAACCGACGTCGATTCGCAAGAAATGCGTTGCCGAGATTCATGCGTACGTCTGCTCTTCGGAGGTAAATGAATGGAACAAAAGCAGTCGCTCGCTCCATCGAGCTCTAGAGTAATTATTTCGCCGTCGATTTCTCTTCTCTGCGAAATGGTAATTTTCGCCTCTCTGCTTGCGAAATCTCTCGAGCAGCCTTTGAAATTTAGTCATTACCGAGGCGGAATGTAAACGTCGGTTGTTGCGCTTCCCTAAAATCGACTCTGCAGACGAAGATGATAAATTTTCATTTGGTCGTTATAAGAGGAAAAAATTTCGCCGCCTTCTGATCGTTAAATTTTGCAGCGTGCGAAACGTAACTACATTTTTTGCCTGAATCTTATCTCTTTATGAGAAAACGAACTTGAAAATTAGACCGAGAAAGAGAGCCATTAAATTTTTTCGCAAAGGGAATTTTATTATAAAATATGTGCAAAAATATCCTCATTTAGTCCACAGGGCAAAATAAAATAATTTGCGGTTTGTTTAGCTCATAATAAGTAAAATGTAATGTAGAGCTACTTTAATTGTTGTATAATTATTAAAAAATTATCAAAATATAAATTTGGGAAAACTAGGCAGAAAAATGCTAATAAAATTGATTTGCTCATAAAGAGGTGAGAAGTTAAATTTAATTATGGAGTTTGAATTTAAATAAGGCTAATCCGCGATAGATTTTTACCGACTCATAGGAAAAGCCAAATTTAATCGAAATTCATTTGCAAAATTCAAATTAATAATTTCTCAGGCGTTTTATCAACCCTTTGATTTTCCAATTTTTTTTTTTATTTCCAATACATATTTTAGCTTGATAAGATAAATATTTAAACTCTTTTGCAAATTATTGCTAAAATTGCTTGTGGCTTGTTTTATGAATAATCAAAATCGTATTTTTCCATTCTCAATATAGTTGAAAGCTTTCGCCAACTTTATTGCAAATGCAAATCACACGTGAAATTTACATCTCTTTTCATCTCTTTTCAATCTCATATTTTGTTTTATTGCTCTTTTCCGCCGTCCAAGAGTTTCGAGGGCGGCAGCTGAAGCCAATGGTTGCACAAGTCTTAATAAAAAATCCCAATAAAAAAAAATATATACAGCTGCTTTCCTCTCTGTGTAAAATAGTACGGGGAATTAATGCGCGCCTCTGGTATTTCCAATAAAGTCACCTCGCTCTCGTGCACCAGCAATAAACCATCTGCTCTTCATTGTCTCCCCAAAGCCAGCTTTTTCCGTCAAACGCGCGCAGGTGCTCGATAATTTCGAGTCCGCCGGCGAATTACATGAAATACGCGCTACAAACATACTGCGCCGCCCACACAGGGAATAATTTTGTAGATTTTGTCGCAATGCTGCGGACTTTGCTTGCCCTGCTGATGGCAAACATTGTGTGCGTTGCGATTTATGAGCTTTCCTACTTTATTTATTGTCGGTCGAGTCTTTTGAAAGGAGATGCTTTGGTGCTCTTTGAATAACTTTAAAGAAATGGCACAAACGCGGTTTTTTTTCTTCATAAATAAACTCTAAATTATTTTATTTTGTTTTCACTCCACTAGATTGCTCATAAAGCAATGTCATCTTGATTTATTATTGAACTTATCGTCATAACTTATCAACAAAATAATTTTTTATCTAACAAGTTTCTGGGGTTTACCGTACTTGAAATTTTACGTTGAATCATGTTCTTTGGTTAAAATAGATTGTGCGCAATCTCTTTTATGTGACAGATGTAAATTAATACGCAAAATTTTGAACAAACAAATTAAAATTGGCCATTAAAAAGTTCAACTCTCTAAGTTAAGGAAAAATACCGGCTCCAGTTCGGCGAGTAGGTTTAAGTTGGAAACACTTTTGCTTCCAAATTGAGCCTATGAGTTTTAGTAAGTTGTTTACTAGAGCTGGCTGCCAATTCTCTCCCAATGCGATTTTTTAATTTTCTGTTTGACTTGTTGCGAGAGAATAAATGAATTGAATACCAGGTTTTTAAATATAGTTTTTGTGGTTTTGCCTTCTTGAAATACTTTGAAGCATCGTTTTTTTGGTCAAAATTAATTCTGCGCGGCTTGTTTTATAATACGCATGAAAATTAATTCGCAAAAATTGTGAACAAAGAAATTAAATTGTCCTTACAATGTTCAAACCTCTGAGTTAGGGCAAAAGACCAGGTTTTTGAATTTATAGTTTTTTGGGTGAGCCCATTTGAAATATTATGTTGAATCATTATTTATTCTTTGATAAAAATAGATTAAGCGCGGCGTGTATTATAAGACGGATGAAAATTAATTCGCAAACATTTTTGAATTAATTGGGCATCAAAATGTTCAACCCTCTGAGTTGGGGTTTTTAAAGCTACAAAATAAGTAAGGATAACGTTTCAATAAGTAATATGATTTGCGTATTAAAAAATCGAGTTGCATAAAAAGATAATAATATGTGTGTATTTTAAAGTAAATAAAATTATTAATTTTATTGGAGTGACTATTTTTTTTTTTTTTTTTGTAATTTTATTTGTGTAGAGTTGTGTCGTGTTTGCGTTGTCAAGTTGAACCCCAAAAAATAAAAATAAAATAAAAATTAATTGGGTGGTGCCTTCTGTACCACCAATAAAGGGCACAGGCCGACAAGACTTTGTCTTGGCCTGACCCTAAAAAAAAAAGTGTATTCCAGTTTCCGGTTCTATTAAAATTTCTAATTAAAAGTTGAAAATTTGGCATTTTAATTTGTTTTCTGAGCAGTGGTTTCCTCGTTCAGTTTATGTAAGTACTTAAGGACAAAACGAACATCAAATACTAAAATAAAATGATCTTTCAAATCTAATATAAAATGCTTGAATTTAAATTATGTCAATTATTAAATGATTTATTTATTTAAATTTTAAATATCTATTTACAAAAATTGAATTTTGTTACTTGAATCTTAAATAAAAATTAATTTAAAATCAAGTGCTCCATTGATGCTTGCAATTTTGCACATCACATTATTGCATCAAGATTTCGCGGCAGCATCTGGTACTGCTTGTTGCAATGCAACGAAGTAAGTCTCCCTTTGTTAAGATGAACTTCTACGGAGCTGTTTATCTTGCAAGAAAGCGGAACGTTGCGCGTTATGTGTGCATTTTGCACCGCAAAAACGTCCAAGCACACAAACTGCTCGTTCCTCGGGTGCTTTTGTGCTCGGCAGACGCGTGTATTGCAATTCAAAACAACTGCGCCGGCAGGAGGATGCGGATTACTTGTGTGCACATGCATGCGATGCACCTGATAATCCGCTTGACCTACTTGCAGCCGATAACGTTTCTACGTGTGCGAGTGTTGAATTCAATGGCAAATCGATCCGACTGCGAAATTCCATCTCTGCATGGACTGCGATAGTGGAAAAGCAGCGAGCACTGTTTGCATTTCAATTGAGCATCAATAATGCAGTTGACGCGCTGCCGATTGCTTTTCAAAGGAGCTTTCTTATAAGATTGGAGTTTGGATAAATCTTTAGGATTAGGTGAAAAATCAGATGTTCACTGACGATTCAATGCACACAATGCTTACATTTGAATTCTGAGTGATTGAAGGATGATTTAAAGTTATAAGTGTAGGAGTGGATAATGTTTATTTAAAAATATTAATTATTAAAAAAAAAGGAAACAAAATATTTTATTTGAAGAAATTGACACTCGAGGAGATGATCATGGGCTTTTCCTCGTTGCAAAAAATTGTTTTTATTCAAAAACAAATGGCTCTACCAGTTTCGGTCACGGTCTGCGACCCTATTTCATGAGCAAGAAAAATAAAAAATAAAATCAGCAAAATTGAAAACACAAAAAATTTACATAAAAATCAAAATCTTAAAACTAACAAATTCAAGTACCAACAACATATTTAGATTTTAATTTTTATGTTAAAACGTGTGTTTGTGTCTTTTCAATTATGCAGATTTATCTTTGTATTTTTCTTGCTCATGAAATAGGGTCGCAGACCGTGACCGAAACGGGTAAAGCCGTTTGTTTTCGCAGCATTTCATTTCCAAAATATTTTGTTAAAACAATTAGGAATCAAACAGAGCTAGAATAAATTTTCCACGAAATTAAATTATTCTAAAAATAAGTGAAAAACTTTGGAAACCCTGTCGCGCAAACTGATACAATAAATTGTGAATCTTAATTTTAACCTTCTAAGATGTAAGTTGAAAGTTGTACTCAATTGAGTTTTCAATAAAGACCAAATATTAAATTATTCTGAAATTAATTCACAATAGTTGAGCTAATCGTAAATATAAATCTAGATTTTTCACCTTTAAACTTTAAAACTACCATTATGGTTAATAAAAAGCTTAAAAAAAATTCAATTTCATCGCCAAAGTAAGGAAACTCCAAAGTTAGTTTTGCAAATTGTACTCACCAACTGTGAAGCTGAAGAGGTCGGATTTGTCAAGGATGAGGGCCACATGGTGCCATTTGAACTGGCGGAAAATGCTGGCAAAAACGAGCCGAAGACGGCACTGGCAGTAAGACATCCTCGTTAGCGTCGGGTACTCGGTCTTGTTGAAGATCCTCTGCACAAAAGAAGTCGGCTCAGAACGCACAGAAAACAGGCCGGCCTAATGCACTTTGCCATGCTCTCAGCAGGCGATCGGAGTAGTGACTCCGTGAAAAAAACACACACATTTCGTAAACATGCCATGCTCTAATTGCAACGTGCACTCTCATCTCGACGAGAAAGGAAAATTGTGAAAAAGAAGATGCAAAAAAGCAAAGGGCATATTGTACCTGAGAGTGGAATCTGAAGAATTTGGCGCGAAAGCAATAAAGCGAGAGAGGGAAAAGGAATTTCATTAAAAAAATATTTGTCATTTTCACGCCAACTAAATTTCAACCGATTAAGGCAATTGTTTTTAAAACAAGAAGCAAAAGTGGACGAATTTTTCAGAATTTACCAATAAGATTTCTTCTCAAAATCGATAAATTGTGGTTCTAGAGAAATAAATCCACGCCGAGCATCCATCACTTGGCCGTTTCTGAAGAACGGCCTCCATTTTCCAGACGGCTATAAATGCGGATCATTTGGGAGATAAATTGCGAGAGACCTTGGCTATTCAAATATCCGATCGGAGCAGGGAGGTCGTTTGAATACGTAAAAATTAATATTTCACGTGCGTAGCGAGTTGGTCTCGAGAGGTAGTCGAGCCTGGCTGCCGTAAAAGCAGGGTTACCGCCGAGAGTTCTTCTTGAGGTCTTGCAGGCCTCATAAAGATGTTGTACTAAAACCTCCCTAGACATTTCATACTGGAGCCTCCGTGCGCACTTTATGCGGGCGGAATGCGAACGAAATTCGCCAAGCAAGAGAGATTAACTCGCGCTCGCGATTTTCGCTGCAATTGGCGATAAAGTTTTTGCGCACGTTCCCTCTACGGAAGGAGTTATGATTGACTTATATGTCAAGAAGAAGAAAGTTCGCCATCTCTTTTTAACGACACGTCTTTCATTTGCATACCGTTAAATGTCGAAAGTTAAATTTCCCAATAAAGTCTCAACATCTAAATTGAATCTCAGAATATTTGGGAGATTTCTTAAGATCTTTTCCTTATTTTGGAAGTTTTCATGCAAAATGGTTGACAATATATTAAATTAACCGGAATGAAAAATGTTTAAATATTCAAATTATTAAGTGATTGTAATTTTGTACATTGTATATAATTTTTTTTAAGTGCGTTGTCAAAATTCAATTTTGTAATTTTTTCATTTAAATTTTTGTAAGCATGAAATCTTAGAATTATGTTGACTCTAAAGTTTTTTTTTTTAATTTTTTATATAATTTCAAATTTTAAAGATCCTCTCCGGTCATTTGTATTGCTCTTTATTCTGAAAGATTGCTAAATTTCGAGTATATCTTGTGAAAACACTATTTGAAAATTCCAAAAGTCTCAATCAAAAGAAAACCTAATGTAAGGGCTTAAGGCCCGGGGATGCGGGCATAGCCCTTAGTGATAATGAAACAAGATGGTTGAGTTCTTACCTTGCGGCTTTATTGTCCGGTGGCCAGATTCCGTCTGCCCACCAGGAAATCAACATTACATAACATCAGCTTGTATTTACCGCTGACACATAAAGACAATACAGATAGCAAAACCGGGTCACCAAAATATATATCGGATATAAAATGCTGTCAGGGTCGAAGAGACCCTGACACTAAATACGAGTGATTCCCGCGAAAAACGTGTGAGAATTGAGGAGCCAATCAGATCCATCAGTTTGTTCAAAAAACTACAGAATTTGGTCACATTGGCGCTGCGATCGCTGATTTTGCCAAGTTTTCTGCAGCGCCGTGGGGCATTAGTGGAAAAATCAGCGATAGCAGCGCCAATGTGACCAAATTCGGTAGTTTTTGGAACAAACTGATGGATCTGATTGGCTACTCAATTTTCATACGTTTTTCGCGCGAATCACTTGTATTTAGGTTTTCTTTTGATTGAGACGCAACGGTTTGGAATTTTCAAATAGTTTTTTCACAAGATTTACTCAAGATTTAGCAATCTTTCAGAATAAAGAGCAATACAATTGACCGGAGTGGATCTTTTATGTAAAATACAAGAAACGACAAATTATCAAAAAATTGAAAATAACTTCAACGTTATTAAAGTGGTGCCATTTTCCTTGATCAAATATATATTATATAAAAATATTAAACATGGGTCCGTATTAGTTTGATTTATATTATTTACTTTTTTCCGACAGTATTTTGCTCCCTGCGCAACCAATTGCAAAAGGAAGCCATTCATGAGTGAATTGGAGCTATTTTGGCAATCTGACGCTGAATCCAGTGAGAGGAAAGATCAAATTTCTATATTTGGTCCGACGCATCTCCTCCGCCCACGCACAACAGTTCGCAACACAAAGGCTCCCCCTTTCGCACGGACCGACAGATATCTCGTTCAATTTTCCCTCGTCAAACACGACCTCTCTCATTGAACCTCTGCGAAAATCTTGCTTTTCTGGACGGATGGATGTTATTAAATTTATCCATCCAACTCACCGCTCCGTATATAATAAAATCTAGTCGGAAGAAAGAGATTTACTCGATGGGAAAGTGTGAATTACTGAGCGCGTTGTTCTCCTATTAATTAACTTCCGCCGAGCAAACTCTTTGCAATTGTTTGAGTTGCGAAATGAGAATGGCTTGGGGAAATCGTCCTTTCCGTGCAGGTTTATGGAGTTGAAAAATCGCCAAGTAATGGAGTGTTTTTTTTTTACTCTTGTGAAAAACTGGCGCACGTGATGCAATTTACTTCACAACTTAGAGACAATGTAGATGACAAATGGGAATAATAAAAAGACGCTCGTTTTGCCACGGAAAGAAATAATGAAATCGTCGCAGTGAGTTGCATTTTTTTTATTTAGAAAACAAAACCTAAAGAACTGTGGTTGTAAAAACAAATAATTTTGCAAGAATTATATAATGCAAGGAATTTCGGAACGGGAAACGTGCCAAAATTCCCGAGTTTATGTTTCGGCAATAAATTCGAAACGTAGCACATTGCGGCAGCGTATTATCTTTTGAGACCCATTAAGGCAAGGGTGCTCAGGAGCCATTAGATGGGAGTAGAGCGAAGCTTGCATTAATTAGTAATTGCGCCACGTGCACTAAAGCGGCTCAGAGAGAGAGCGAAGATTCGAATTTCGACACGCCATTTAGCTTCCAAATTCGGTCGACATCCTTGAACTGTGACATTTGTGTGCTCAACTTAACAGGTGCAAAGTGGCATTTGATGACACAGCTGAGGAATGTATCTATTTTTTTATAATGAGAATCAAGAGGGATTTGATTTGAAGATGACATATTATATAAAATGTAAATTTGGAGAACTGAAGACATTTCTGTTATGTAAATCCTGTAAATCAATTTTGAAAATAAATTAGTTTTCAAATTAGGGTGCCAATATTTTAAGTACAGAGGAAGCATAAAGTAAAATTAATAAAGACAATTTGCAAATTAAACTAAAGACATTTCTTTGCATTGAGTTTACTTTTAACTGTTATACCTTAATTGACCCGAATAATAAAATTTATGATAAGTCCACAATCACCTGACATAAAATGACACATTCAAATATTTTTGGAAAAAAAATAACTGTAATGATGATGATCCTCATGGGAATAAAATAAATTAGTATTAAACAGAAAAAAAATTAAAAAGTAAAATGTTGTTGAGTGTTTTGTGTATCTAAATATATTTAAAAATAATTTTTTTTACCACAATAATAATTAAATTATAAATTTAAATATAACAATTGTTCTATAAACGTATAAACGTAATGTCCGTAAAAAAACGTTTAATATATTATATAATTCTGTATAATTCATGGCAATTCTATTGTAACCATTATTGACTCTGTTAGATTGGCAAATAATACTCTGTTCGCCTTCTCGTAAATTGTTGGTAATTCCTCCACCGCGTTGGCGAATTCGCACCGGCGAAACGGAATTGTTAATTCAATTTCGCATTTACCGAGGTAGCTTCTCGACTCCTTTGTTTCCTCACAACGCGTCGACTTCGAATGTATCCCTCTCTTGCAACATTGCTAATTACTTCTTACACAGCCTGCGGAGTTAAGGGTGCGGAGAGGGCCAGAGATAAAAATTAGCGCCGAGATAGGAGGTGGCGCAAAAGAAGCAGAAACAGCCTCTCTATTCTGGGTCGGCTCTGGATGATTTGCATGTATTTGTTAATTCAGCTAGGCCGCTTCAGACCCTCCACCGCATTTCGACGAAATGGAGCCGGAGCTTGAAAATTAATTGCATACAAAATGTGATCTGGCTGGCAGAGCGGATTTCGTATTTTGCAGAAATAATTCATACAGAAATAATGTTATGTAAGAGAGAAATTTATGTTCAGATTAAATTTCCATTTCATTACGTTAAATTTCATGTAAAAACTTTATTATTTAAAATGTAGCGCTCATGAAAACTTGAAAAAGTCGGAAAAAGTCATCTCTATCCAATATTAATATCAATTGGAATTAGAACTGTTGGCTATGGATGAAGTTAAAACGTTGATTTTTTATGGGAAAAATAAATATTTGAATAAATAATCGGATTGTAAGAATAATTTTTGACATTTTCACGTTTTAATCTGCAAGATATTTATGTTTTAAGTTCAGATTGAATCCCTTCCGTTCACTGGTTTATTTGAAATTAATTAATTAAAGAGCTCATTATTGATCCTTGAACATTTACTCATTTTAGAGAATTTACACTTGACTTCGTTCTGCGTTACGTCAACAAACGTCCCACACACCGAAGGAACGAGTTTGAATGTTTCCAGATTTCCCTAAAGAGATCCGTTCTAACCAAAATGTCAAGCGCGAAAGCAAATCAAGAGCGCAAATCCGCACTCTTTTTCCTCCAAATGCCTCTTGAGTGCTCTCGACTCGAGCGACTCGCTCACTCAAGCCACGTCGGTTATTTTTTAAGTGCAACTCGTCATGACATTGTGTTGTTTAGCCCGGCTGAGAAACAAACAGAGCAAGTGGATTTGAGTGAGAGCAGCTCCCAGGGGGATGAAAACGGGGTTGGCCGGGCTGTGTGTGCGATGCGCCCTTCCAGCAGCGGCGAATGCAATTAGCCTGCCGAATGGCATTAAGTAAGCAAGGCAAGAGACACGCGAGACTCGTTTTGCTTCACTCGTACAATCATATCAACAAGATACACGCTTAATTTCGTGTCCACTCTCGCCAAATGAATTAATCCAATATGTGATGCTCGCATTGCGTGATGATTGGCTTATTGTTCATTAAATTTGAGCAAATGGTTTTCTAAATGAAAATTGAAATTTTGTTTCCAACTCTAATTAGTAAAATCTCTATGAAAATTGTCAACGAGATGAAAATTAACTTTTTCTCTCATTAAAGTATTTTGATTACAAAAAACAAAAAAAAACATTGAGACAATTTTAAATTACTAGAAAGTTATGATGTAATTTCATATTAATTATAATATTTATTACATAAATAATTTTTAATATTTTTTATTAGAAAAACGACGATTAATAGCTGATTGCAGGAATCGGGACTCGGGACGGGTCCAAAATTTCGTTTTAGGCACTCCCGGGAACGGGACCAGACTCGGGAAATTGTTTGAAAAAAATTCGGGAACGGGACGGGAAAATTTTCAAAAATTGGTCCCGTCAAACACTCTGGTTCCAACAATAAGGAGAGTACTTCAAAATTAAATAATTACATAAATTACTTATTTTTTTTCCCCGAATCAAAAGCTTTAAACTTAAAATATTCTAATAGTCAAGGACCATGAAATCATAATTGCCCTATAATTTTAGTAAATATTCCATTTAATTTTTTAAGCTTATTTGCGTTTATAACTCTAAAATTTTTAATGAGAGTTATCTTTATTTTGAAACATTCGCGTTTTCTCTGCTTTTCCAAAACGTAAGCTGAGGCCAAAGTTAAATTTTAAATCAGTCACTGGATTCGCTAAGCCACGCGTAAAGCTGACGAAAAGCAACGAGCAAGCAGCGTGTCAGGCGTAATTAAAGCGGGCGCGTTGTACATACAAAGTACCGAGAGCAAATGAATGCATAATTAATGTCATGTGCGTGTGATCTCTCGTCGTCAGATAATCCGCCGCTGCGCGTTTAAGGTCGTCGGAAGCGATAGAAATTTATATCCTGCGTGCAAAACACTCACACACGTGCAACAAATATAAAGGTGCGAGATTGATTGATGCGAGTACTCACGGTCGACTGTCCTTTCTTCAGTTTGTCAAATTTGCTTATGAAAGGCGAGGTCACTGAGAGTTCGCCCTCGGCTGGCGGCTAACAAGAAACAGGCGCAGGTGGAATAATGTAACGGGGAAAAACATGACACGGGCTGAGAAAAATGGCGGAAAAGTTAATTTCAAAAGTTGGCAACTTCATAATTTGTTCCAAAGAAAAAGTGACGAAATAAGCTTTAAACTTATTTAAATTTGACCAAAGCAAAAATTAAAAAGTTTTTTTTAACTTGCATAATCTGTGAGATATTCGAGGACATAAATTTTTCTCAGCCCCAGGACTGAAAGAACTGGAACGACAACAACAGTGCTCTAGGACAAAATGCAAACAACTGTGATTTAAATTATGAGTTCTGGATTTTAGGGCTTCAAGACACTTGCAATGGGTTGTTGAAAATATTTAAAAATTCATCGAAAAGCGATGCAAATTTTTCTTACCTGGTCACCCATGCCTGTGATGATCGGGATGTCCCAGTAGGCGGCCAATCTTGCCACTGGTTCGAGGGCAAAGGCGCAAGCAGGACCAATGAAGGCGATCACACCCTCGTTGTAGTGCAGGTCAGATGCCAGACCGGGGGCCAGGGCGTTCGAACACGACGGATAACTGAAATCATTATTAAAAAGGTTATTCATAAAAAACTTATTTTGAAATTATGTTCAGTCAGAAAATTTCTGTCGCTCACAATGAGTTTGTTTATCTAAATTCTAATAACATTTTTGGTTTTTCAATGCATGTGGGAAATGAAAATTGTTTGTGTTCAAACGATAAGAAGTGCATACATATATAAAATAAAATATGAAAATACAATTAGTTTGATCAATAAAGGAAAACAATGATAATGAATCTCTGAGCTTCAAATTGCAATATTTGAAGCATAAATAGCTAAATTCAATTCAAAACTATTATTATTATTATTTATTCTTCTCTGTCAATACAAAATTTTGAATTGGGAAAAAAAGAGAAGAAAAAACTCAGGAAAAACTACAACTCAGTTAAAATAAAACCAAAAGAATTCAATCATGTAAATTATTAATCATAATTGCTGTAAAACTGCAAACTTTAACAGTGCGTTTAAAAAAAACTTTTTTTTATCATTTTTATCATAGAAATTAAGAGATCGGGCATTTTCTCATTGAGAAAATTGTTTTTATTTAAAAACAAATGGCTCTACCAGTTTCGGTCATGGTCTGCGACACTATTTCATGAGTAATTTCTTACTCGTGACCGATACTGGTAGAGCCATTTGTGTTTTTTAAACAAAAACAATTTCTGCAACGAGGAAAAGCAATTTCCATGATCATCTCCTCAATTTCTTCAAACAAAAGAATATTTTCATTTGACAAAACGCGGTTTAATTTTAAGAATTTTCAACTTCATCAGCCTCGCGGTTTTGGTTTCCCAGTTTTCCACGTTGACAGACACTGTATTTTACATACTGCTTGTCAGCTTGCGGTCGCGAACTCTTGATTAACTCATAATTACACGTCGCGCGCGCAGCGTAAACAAAAGTCTCCGTCGAGCACTCGGCGCGAGTCCTTTAATTAAGTAAGCCGCGCACTAGGGCAGGGAAAAGCGTTTGCAGCGCTCTTTGTTTTGCAGGACGCCGTAAATTAAACCGCGTGTTTTGAGTTTTGCATGCATGACGTGCTGATGCTGTCATCAGGTTTTTGTATTAATTTAATTAATTATGCACAATCGTAGGATTCATCAATAATCTTATTTACAATGTTCTCTACAAAAAAAAAAAGGGATAACCTAATTTTATTATTAACAGAAATATTAAGTTCATAATGATTAAAACTAAATATTTGTTAACCCTAAAATAACTATTTTTTTATTAAAGTTAATAATCTAATTTTTAAATTATATATCTGTAAAAAGACAATCATTTATAGTTTTTTAAATTTCTCTATGTTACATGAAACTGTGTAATTTCTTTTACAAAAAAGCAGATCTTTAATGAAAGGATATAAATTTTTTGGCAATTTATTTTCAGCAGTACAAATACAATTAAATTGTTAAAAAGTAATTACATCTGAAGTTTCGTTAAATTATCTAAATGCGTGGAATTAAAATAAAAAAGTAGAGAAAGAAAACCTTGGAAATGTTGAATGGAAACCCCATTAAATTTATGCAAAAAACGGTTTGAAACGAATTTTGAGCATGTGCCAATCACAGCTTGTTATTTTCAACTTAGCAGCTAATTAGTGAAGGATGAATAAAGCTTTGGTACAATAGCGCCGAACAAAAGCAGATTAATTTTCGCCTAATTTTTACTGGCAGCCAGATACGGTTTTTGATAATTCATTTAGCCGCGACGAAAGCTGCTTTGCGAAAAGGCGAGGCTCGAACGGAACCAAACTCAAATACTGCTGCTTCGTTCCCCTGAAGCTTTGCTACTTTTCCTGCAAATTTGCAGCTCCGGACGGCCTGGTGCCGAGCGCGTATCAAAAGCGGAATTAAGTTCTTAATCCTTGCTTGTTCCGCCGCTCGCAGCAGCCAAAGCAGCGACGCGAAATTAACTTTGAGTGTCATTCCGCCCGGGGTAGCAAAAGTGCCACTCCTGACGACGAAAACAAAGCACATAAGATGAGTAATTGACCTTGCAGCTGTTTGCTCGCATCTGGCTTACAAATACAAAATTACACTTTTTTCCACAAATAAAAAATAACCGATAAAATTGAATATATTCAATTATATTTAAACTTGGATCCATTAAAAGGTACATAAAAATTGAAAAATATAGAGACTCAGATGATAAAATAAACGAATTTAAACGTGTAAGTTTAAAATTAATTATTACATAATAAATGGGTGAATATTATATTTTTGCTTACTCTGTTGCTTATAATATTATTTATTAAAAATAAAATATTATTTATATCTATTATATAGAAAATCTATTGTATGCAAAGCAATACAGCAATCATAAATTGAATGTAAATATATATACATTTTAATATGATTGAGAGAAGAAAATAAAATAATTTGTGAGATGTTACATTATTATAATACAACTTTTGAATGCAGAATAAAACAATAAAGCAAATTAATAAACTTTTTGCAGAAGGCTTTTATTTAGACTGTTTGATAATTGATCCAACTGCCGCTTTTCCTCTTATTCATTGTATAATTTGCAGCTAATTTGTTTGAAGAAATTGACATTCAAGGAGATGATCATGGAAATGAAGCTATCGGGATTTTCTTCATTGTAAAAATTCAAATTGCTTTTATTCAAAAACAAAACGGCTTCGCCAGTTTCGGTCACGGTCTGCGACCTTATTTCATGAGCAAGAAAAATACAAAATAAATCTGCAAAATTTAAAAAAAAAACATTAAAACATTAAAAAATGTTATGTTAAAATGTGTTTTTTATTTCAATTTGGTGTTTTTTAATTTATAATTTATTTTTTTGCTCATAAAAAAAGGGTTACAGAATCTGATCGAAACAAATAGGGCTGTTTTGTTTTTGAATAATAAAAATTTTTACAAAATGAGTAAAAGCCCCATATACATATTAATTTCCAAGCTCTTCATTGGTTTTAGATCAGATTTTATTCTTGTCAAAATCTTCATTTTATCCTCATCACGTGTGATTAATACGCCTTTATACTAGTTTTGCTGGAACAATTTCAGTTTTTTGTGCATTGATATTTTAAATTGTACACATTTCAGTCCAATATTGCTTTGAAAATAAATAAAAGTCTTTTGCTCCGAAACATACTCTCAGCAGTAAGAAACCATTCATGCGCAATTTTCTCGCTCACAAAAGCCCATTCTGAAATTGCTCGTTCTCCTCCGCTCGTTTGACTCTAACAATCAGACTTTGTCTCTCTATAATAATAAATATGCACGCCGCGTACACATTTGCGCCGCCGAGGGAAAATAAAACTGCGCGCGCCACACAAAAGAAAAGTTGGCAGAAACCGCGTTGCAGAGCGAAATGTTGATTCTTATTATTACCGTCGCATATTATTTTGCTCTGAACCACGTCTTTGAGCGCACAAAACACAAATGCATTTATGTAGCAGCTCGGAGGGCGAAGGGAGTTTCTACAAACGCTCTCATATGTGTGAGCGAGGAATTCACGCAAAATATTTATTCGCGGCGGCTCCGGCGAGTACGAATGAATGAATAGAGCAACTTGGAAAGGGAGCTTGCATGGAGATGTAATTTACGGCCGCCTTTGTTTCTGTGTAATTCGCAGAAAGCGCAGAGCGTAAAATGGAAACAATCAGAGTGCGCCGGCCAGATATGAATCTGGTGCTGCTGGTACGCAGCATGCAAACAAACGGATAAAAAATTCATTTCGCGCATTGTTACGGTCAGTGGTAGGGTAAATAGACACAGTCACAAGATTTAACAATTAAACTTGCGAAAAGCCACACGATTTTTATGAATATTTGCTGCCAATTCATAAAAAGACACATTTGGAAGCAAATTATTAGAGATGAAAATTTATTCTTGTTCGGAATTTGTTTGAGATATTAAAGGAAGTTCGTACAAAATAAGTAAAATTTGATTTTAAATAATTTAGCTAAAAAAACGAGTGATCATAAAATATGTTTACAAAAATCTATATGCTAAAAATTTACGTTTAAAACATTTCTACACGTTTACATCCTTAATTTTTTGGTTTTAATTATCACTTAAAACTTTGGCCACCTCCCAATTTATTTAATAAAATTGATTTGGTGATCCTCCAAAATTTGAAATACACATTTGAAGTTTGTATTATTTATTGTCTTATTTATTGCAAAAAAATGGTAAGTTTTTATAATCTGAATTTAAGATGCACCTGAATCTGCTTGAAAAATCTAAAAATTTAATATTATTTTGTACTTATGCAAGGAAGCAGAGGGTAAAAATAAAAGAGAAGAACATTTCCATCCCATGTTCGCCCGCTTCTTTGAGCAAAAAAGCTCAATCGAAGTCAAATAATTTATTACTTCATCTCACTCTGGGAAGCAAGTCTTTATGCGAGCCATGAAAAAATTCGCCTCCACATGCAGCCGCCAGAGACAAAGAAATTCAGAATCAATTTGAAATTCAGATCAATTCGTTCAGGAGCACGTGAATTTATTCGCAGCATCTCTCTTTTCCCTTCTCTCGCCGGCAGCGACGAATTCATATATTACTTATGTATGTATGTATTCGCATAATTCGTCGCGAGAGGCTGAAGAAGCGGAATATGTGCATATATGTGTGTGTGTATAACGAATACGGGCGGCAGATTTAGGAAGTGGGAATTCACAGAACGTGTGGGCAGGAAATCTTATCTCTCGTGTGAGGGAAATTGCTTCTTCACTGTAAACATGAGCAGAAATTCAGAAGCCACTGAATTTGAGAGTAAATTAAATTTAATTGAATTAAAAATGTCTGTGGAAGTGAAGTACTCGGGCTTTTTCCTCGTTGTAAAATTTTTTTTCAGTTTTGGTCACGGTCTGCGACCCTACTTCATGAGCAAAAGATATAAAAAATCAGCAAATTGAAAAACCAAATTTTTAACAAAAAATTTTCACAATCTTAAAACTAGCAAATTCAACTTAAGATTTTGAAGTTTTTTATCTTGATAAAAATATACATTTTTAATTTGCTGATTT